CAAACTGCTAGTGCAAGACACATTACTTGTTTTTAGAACAAGCTTAAGTCCTCCATCCTTACCCCAAAAAACACGTCTTTCAGAAGCAATAAAATTGAGAACATCTGTAGAGTAATCAAAGGGTAGACAATGAATCCACTTTTAGAATCTACTCACTGCCATAGTGACAAGGCTTTGGGGAATGCCTTGCCTAACACCAACATACAGATATACTATACTCTTGAACAAATCAAGTAATTAGTTAAAGCAGGATTTCACATAGCACTTTCATGGAGAACTGAGGTTTTTCCTGAGGCAGGGACTCTAAAGCTGTAAGTGCAAACAATTTTTCAGCTACACTGGCTCTCCGCATCAACTACATGCTGAACAACTGGGTTCCACTACACTTCCTAACTCCTCCTGTGATGGCAAACAGTTAAGAGGAAAAGGTTACACATATTTTAGCTCCTGTTCCCAACTTGTAAGTCTTGGCACCTAGATGACAACGGATAAACTGAACTGAAGTTGCCATTTCTAATTTTGTGTAAAGCACATTTGAAAGTTGAATCACTTCTTGAAAGTTGTAGCACCCTTCATGCATCACTCCTCCATTCCTTCGTGTTTCAAGGGGTTGGTGCAACTCGTTCTACTGCAAAAATCATCCAGCTGAGAGGACCTTGGCGCTCCCCTCGTCTTTTGTCCATCAGCAGTCCTGAGGGCCTTGACTCATTGCACTCCTTTGTTTCTTTGAGAAGTCATTCAATTCTACTCGGGAAATAGGTACTGTTATCAGGAATTATTGAAACCTGCCTAAAAGAGGAAAGATACTTCACTGTATTTCCCTCCCCCCACTTCTATTATTACGATTTCTTCCAAAAATAGTACAGTATTATCAAATAACATTTGATATAAGAAATCTAACAAACCTAGCTTTGAGGCACACATGAAGTTCGATGAAACATTCTTGCACTTCTAAAGCACTGGCATTTTTCAGCTAGTTTTATAAGTACTATTTTTAGTAGCCCAGAAAGAGTCTTGTTTACTTAATTTCAGTAACAGTACTGACTGAGACTGCACTGCCCTGGTGAAGTTTAGAGATGATCATCTTTTATAGGATAAAAAATACACGAACTGTGGAGGGAAAAATATGATCTGATTACAGAGGGAAGCTTATCCAACTACAAACTCAAATAATTTGAATGCTGAATTTAAACAGAAATGTATGTTCATTCCTAGGTTTATCATAGTTTTGCAAAATACTCACACACCATCGACATTTTATCACTTCATCGGTATGTGAACTACACTAGGCAACAGCAGCAGAAAGCTACTTTCAGCCGGCGGGCGGAAGGGGGACTTGAAGGAAGTATCCATGCCCACCCCACTATGGGGCTGCTACAGGCATTTTGAAAGCAGGACAAACATGTTAGAAATCCCTGTGCCAGCTCTAAAAGACTTGAGCAGTAGGGCTGTAGTTATTTTTACTTACAGGCATGACTAGATTATGTTCCAGAACAAATTTTGTTGGCTGTACTTTGGGGATCGTTATCCACACGTACAGGGTTGTGTCCATGCATGCACATACACAACCCTCCCTCCCAGAGGGAATTGCCAATATCCTCAAAAAGTTGCACAGGTTCCTCTTTTAGTTCATGATCAATTACTTGAGTACATTCCTAATGCCTTAAGGGCTGCATTGAGGACCCCACCACCACCAATCGCTCATCTGGCTGCGAAGCCCATTTGAAACTCTGTGAAACAAGTAAGAAACAGGTCTATATCGGAAAAAAATCCATTTAGGAAGTTTCAGTGGTAAACTACAAATAATAGAGACAGCAAAACTACAAAGAGTCGTGAGCGTCTTTAATGTAATAGAAAAGGTTCAATAACCTAGGTTCAGCGGTTGTTATAGACTACTGCACTGTCAGAAGAATGACTTGAGATTTAAACCTTTAGAAATTCAGTTCTTTCAGGGCAGTTTTGTACAGAACAAACTATTTTAATCTTGAAAGCACCATGAAGGGACACTACATATCAGCAAGCACAAAAAACAAGAACAGACTGGAACTTTACCATGTAAACTACACCTTGAACACCACTTAGGTAGATTTACACTGCAGGCCAGAGCACAGCACAGAGGTATTCAAATTGACTCAGGTATTATTTGCCACTTAGCCCTGCATGCAATGTAGACATACCCTAGACGTCTGAATATATCATTATGAATTAATTGAGCTTTGCAGCACAATATTTAGGCCCTCATTCTGCATCACCAAAATCAACAGTCATTTTCCATCAACTTCAGAGAGCGCAGGATCAGGCTTGTAATCACAAACATACTTGTACTAACAAAACATTTGTTTGGAACATAAAGCTCTGTCAAGTTCAAACATGAGTTTGAGGGCATGCAGACTGATTACAAATGTTTAAAAAGACTAGTTCTGAATCTTTCTTATATATACACACACAAGTCCTTCTGTCACAGACAGGCAAATGTAACTCAGAATCATGAGCTTGCTCTCGTCTTTTGGGAGTGCCCTGCACACGTCTGATAATTAAAAAATAAAAATAAAAAAATAGTTGCCACAATGGATTTCAGACCATTCCAACTTGCACATGGATATGATCTCTTCTTGCTGCATCCAGAAGATGAAGTTTCACAGTTGCTTCTCAAAGGCAAATACCAAGTAAATACCTAAGAAAGACAAAGTTTTTAAACTTTCAGTTTCCTCTGCTGCTCATGAGAGTTTTGAAAATTAAAACAGGTTGATATTTTAGCCAAACAATCTATTAACAGATTACTGAAATAAAAATTGCTATGGTTTCCTAATCAGTAATTCTAGCACTCAAACTCATAAAAGAGAATTCTAACACCGACTCAATTCAAACATATTTGTAATCCAGTTTGTAGACATATTTTCAAGATGGAGCTAGCCATGCTTAAAAGCAAAATATTTCAAATACTGTTAACATGGTTAATGTAACAGTAACTTTAGTTAATGACACTACTGTAATGTGAATGTAATTCACAAATTAGCATGCAACCATAACTATGCCATTCTACACATAATTAACATTCACTGGTGCATAAAAGGTCATATGCAATTTTAAGTTGACGACTCCTTTTTACATGCATTAAAGGATAATTAGGTTTGGAATGACTAACTTCATTTTTAATTAAAAAGTGAAAAAAATCACGGTAAGAAATTTTGCTCTTTTAAAGCATCAGGGACAAAGAAGAAATGTTTATTAACGCTAGATCGCATTTTCTCAAGTTCAAAACATACAGATATTCATACAGTCTACACCAGTACCCTTGGGAGATACTTAGCTTAAAAACAGCACCAGCCATGTCAGGGGCTCTTACGTTTCATATCAGACAGTTAAGTTTAATTAGTTTGTTAAGAGACCATGAATACAGTTACACAGGTTTCCAGCTAAACCCCCTTTTTTTTTTTTAATGGGTAAGGTGCCATAGCTACATGGAAAAATCCACCTAGACAAGCCAGATGCACACTCTTCAGCAGTAAAGCAAAGTGAAGTCCCACTTAACGGGCAAGCAGGGTCCGTGCCCTAGCCATCAGAAGCACTGTACTCCAGATCTCTCTGGAAAGAGATCACTTCAGAATCATTTATCTTTAAAAGGTATAAAAAGCCCTTTCCAACTAGATTCATGATTTAGATAACACTTTCAGTTTGCTGGAATTAACATCTATCTTTATGATTCACGCATTTTTAAAAATTAGCTAATAATTTTCTATATCGGGGAAAAAAAAACTAAATGTTTTCATTCACAAATCAACCAGCATTTTTGTTTCCTTGTTTTAAATTGCTAGCACAACTAGCATAACTATCTGTAAAACTGCAAATCCTGGTTGGCTACAGTTACACTGAAGTTAATAACCATCTCTGGGAGAAAATTTTTACCATTAGTCTTCTCAGCCCCTTATATCTGTGTTTTATTAAATTTACAGTTGAAAAACCCAACATCAAAAGTTTCCCATAACACAACTGCTCACGACACTCAAAATGGATTTAACAACATCGAACCCTTTCGAGTGTCTGAGGCACTGACTTAAAAACCAAATAACTTTTCCCTAACTATACTTTAATTGCTTCTTCCTGAAATGTATTAATCACTACAGGCAATGAGTAAAAGCCTCAGTTGCTGTCTCCCCAATACAGACTGGTATTTTTTTGGAAGAACATATGTCCCAAGTGAAGTTTGTTTTCTAGTGGAGTAGTACCGGTATAATACCTAAGTTTAGCGAACAGAAGTGTAGAAGTATTATTCTAAATCCTTTAATTCTGGCAGAATAATCTTTCATTTTGGCATCCCTTTTTACTACATTCTAAGTAATGCTCCCCCAAACTATATTTATACTCAAAAAGTTTTCATGCTAGAAGCTCCTTAAGTATAGCAAAACTTCAATCTCTTCTCTGCATTTCCCCCCATTTATTGAAACACGTGCAATAAATAATCCATACTTGGGCATTTGCATAACAAACAAAATCTCATTTTATTTAGAATTTGCATTTACTTCCAAAATTAACAGCCTATATATTTCAGAGTTTTCAACCCAGTCATTCAGTCAACACCAAGTTTTCAAAACAATACTTACTTGTTGCTTCCCATTCAGATTTACTCAAGGTTCCCTAGAAGAGGGCACAACAGGCAGTTTAAGTAAGAGTATGAGGAAAAAATAAAACACAGATTTAAATCAGGGGTAATCAATCTTTCACAAACCAATTTCTAAACACTCACACTAGCTGCCTACTTAGAGACTAGATCAGCATTACTGTAAACCACATATGCTTGCAACTTCAATATCTAGGATGATAGGGGATTGGGATATCCCAGATCAGGGAAAATACCCAGATTATATAGGTATAGCAGAATGAGTCAACAGTCTGCAACTCGGAGGCACTTTGGGTCCATTACAGAACATCAGCGTGACTCATCCTGACTGAAACCACTCTACAGCCCACCTTCCCCAACACTCATACAGAGGTCAGGAAGCGATCATACCCCACAGGGCCACCCACCTTCCCCAGGACAACTGCCTGCCTTGACCTAACATCTCCCTGCAGCCCATAAAAGCTCTATTTGTAGGAGGCCAACTCCAAACCCAGCTCAGACACTAAGAACAACAGTCTGTCTTGCAGCCCTAAGAAACCTACTCCTAGCCCAGCCTTTCAGACACAAGCAGGAGAGCAAGGGAAGCACTCAAGATGAAAAGCTACTGCCGTTTACCCTACCGATTAAGCAGCGTGACGTGACAAACAATAAGCTGATTTTCTGCTCTGGACACTTCATGCTGTTGTGCCCTCGCTAAGGGCAAGATTTAGCCCACGAACAACCCACTGGCCAATCCTGACCAAATGATCATCTTTCCAAAAGTTAGCAAAAAAAGGCTTGTTCGAGCAGATTTCTTCTCTGCCAGGGGACATATCACTGTCTTACATCAGTGTCTTACACTTCTTTCTAGGTAACACAATTGCCAGCTGTTGAAGAACAAAAATCAGGCAAGAGAGGTCTTTGGTCCAACTCAGCCGTTCTCATGTTCTTAAGCATATTTCTTAAGAGCACCAATTTGCTTTTTAAAACTACTAGATTTCAATAGAGAGCAGATTTCTTTTCCATCGTGATGTAAGATTTTGATATATATAGTAAAAGGTGCATATCTTCAGGAATTCAAACACAAACAGTAAATAATCAATGTTAAAAAAAAACAAACAAGCCAAGTGAAAAATTTCAAGCTGACTTGCATTACGCTATATCCATCACAACAAAGTACAATGCTATATTGGAGTAACTGCTTGTCCCTTCACTAAAACTACAAGGCTCTAATTTTGGTTCTGGCTTTTCAAAGAACCTCAACACATGCAGACCTAAAGTTCAGATAAAAAGAGCCAAGGTTGCTTATCAAGAACTATGCAGCATGAATAGGTCAAACTAAGTCTTTGCAAGGTTTCCATCTGCCAAACCCACAACAATATGCTACCTTGCATAGCTAGTCTGGCTACAGATGGAGAGGCAACGGGCAAATAAACAGGAGCAGCTCCTGGGGGGAAAACAGCAGCTCCCACCCACAGACACTGCCCCTTCTGCTCCCTTCCCAGGAACAACAGCTGTGCAGGCTCCTGTCCATCCTGCACTCAACCAATTCTGAGACCAATACAGGAGAGTGAAGGGCTGGGAGGGAACCAGCTGCCAGAGCTAGACCACTACAGCTCCTTAGGAAACTGAAATTCACAAAAGAATCACACACACAAGATTTTCTGTTTTTTTTTTTTTTTGGGGGGGGGGGGAGGGGAGTTGGGTCCCCCTGCCCAAGGATGAGCACAAAGTGCTAGCACGCTCATTTAAAAGCAAAAATAGGGTTAACTCAACACAAAAATGAGTTACAACTCACAAAGCATACAGAATTTTTTCTGGGCTTCTGTAAACTACTGACCTTACTTCCTAACTTGGACTGTAAGCAAACAACCAGTACAAAAAAGGCTGAAACATTTAATTCCTATTTTTTGTTCCAGTCTCGGGAATGCAGAAGGGCAAACACATCACTTACTTAAAAAAAAAAAAAAAAAAAAAAACCAAAGTATAGACCAAGCTCCAATATAAATAAAAAAAACCTAATTTGTATTTTAAAAATCTAAAATAAAAGAACTTACAAGCACCAAAACATCTACGCTGTAAGAAAAAGACAAACGGAGCTAATCAGGAATAAACTGCATCAATTCAATCTTGCTTCCTTTTTTGACCATAACATAAAAGGAAGCAAGAGATACATTACCTCACCTTCAACGCTTCTACCCTAGTCTTACGAAAATCTCAGAAGCTGACAGTCTTCCCAACTAGACCACATAAGGAGGATAAAGAGCTGGCTGAAAAGTCATCATCAAAGAGCAGCTTGTTCAATGTCTAACTGTGAGGATGTTAAAAATGGGGTCCAACTGTTAAAAATGGGTTCAATGCACTCCAAGACTGCCGTACTGCTAAGGACAATGGAAGAAAGAAAAATGCTCCATAAAAATCTGAGAAAGACAACAAGCTCAGAAAGGCAGCAAGTCCTCTTGAAGGCAGGACCAGAATTAGAAAAAGAAAAATCATTAGACAAATGATCTAAAATCTAGTATCATCTCCATTAAAGATAGTTGATAGTATCATAATTCTTCTATTTCTACAGCTATAAACCAAGCGCAGACATTCCAAAGGAGAAATAGCTGACGAAACAGGAGAAGTGCACAAAAACCTCTCCAGATTTCAAATACATACAACATTATGAAGAAAATAACATTATGAAGAATACTTTCAATTGACTTCTGTGTCAGAGGATAAAAAAAAAAAAAAAGCTTTAATACATAGTGTGAAGATTCAGAAACCAAAGAAAGTATTTCAAATTAAGGAGTGCTAGAGCACTTGCCAAGGAAGATGATAAAATATCCTTTTGCATTGTTACAAGTCTCTTCACAGCTAACAACTTAGTGACTGTGATTCTTTGAGAAAGGGGTACAGATCGGACCAACTCTTTAGCCTTGCAGTTGTGCAATCTCTCCACATGCACAGAGACAATCTCACAATCACAGAGACCAATTTCATTCTGTAGTTGAAATAAGAAACAAAACGTCTATAAGATTAGGACCTAAATTTTAAACATACTTTACGCAAGTGAAGTAAGAATAACTTACCAATGGTAACTTTGCCTTGCCATCTTTGATAAACTCTTTTGCATGCTCATAATCATCCGGCTTATCAGAAACAAGCTTGGAATCACCAAAGGCAGAATATGGCTGAAGAACAAAGGAAAAAAAAAAAGAATAAAAAGAAAAAAGTACTGATTAGGTAGTAAGATACACTGACCACATCAATCAAAGGTTTATCACAACATGGCCCAAAACTGAGGTCGGAACTTAAAAGGAGGATCTTAAATTTAGATGTCTCCTTTAAAGAACCTATAAGTTTAGGTGTGATATTACCTACTTCCCAGAAAAAGTGACACTCAAGATTTATCAATTAAGTTCTAATTAGGTCTCTGAAACCGGATAGATGGAATAAGCTAGAAAAATTCTTCTCTGTGTAGAGCTCATCATGAATATTACCTACACATACCTCTTCCAGAAGAGCAACTGAACAAAATGACATCTCTTAAGCAGAAGTACAGAGAACAGCCTTAGACGACTGTGAGATTTCAAGCAGAACATTTAACATGCCTAAATGAGATACTGAAGCTATAAACAGAAGTATACACTTAATTCTTTTCAAGACTATACACTTATGAAAGATCCCAGTTAGTACAAAATAGTCTGTACTTACCATTGCAGTCCTCAGTAGCAAGTGACTGCTAATTTAAGATAACTATCACTTTTTTAACAAGCTGTTATGTAAGAGGCTGTGTCACTATACTACTGGCAATACGAGCCCATATAGAGCACCATCCCTTTCAGAGTAAAAACAGGCAGTCAGGTCCACCTGCAGTCCACCTGACAAATGTTTAATATGCCAACAGATATTTAACTACATAGTTTTATGACTAAAACTCCTGCTGTTTGAGGGAGGAGGGAAGCAGAGAGAAGCAGGAGCAAGAAAAATAGAGTCTCAGACATGTTGTTGGAAAGCTCCTCTAAACCTGCTAAAGTCATCCAGTTTAAGAGCTTGAGGCATTGAGCAAAAACCTAAGTTCAGTTGCAATACAGTGCCATTTTCTTATACGAATACAGCCTATCCTTTTATTTCTACAAAATTAGTTTGTCTTTCCAATCAATATTTCTTGCACAAAGATTCAGTTTTCAGTCTCCCTCTGAAGAGAGATTGATTACAGTTATCACCGTGCAACATCAGCCGTGATTCTTGGGTTTCTGTATAAAAAAGGGAAGCAAACACACCTGACCAAATAAAAACAAAAAATGTGTTCTTCTGCCTACTATTTAATAAAAATGAAAGTTTCCTTCAAAACGGAAATTCTATCTACGAAACTGAAGTGTGCTTTCAGCCATAAGAGTTTAGTTCTTCTATTGGTAGTCTTTAATTAACTGCAAAATGTTCACAATGAGAAATTCAACTGTTGCACAAATAATTAGCAAGATGCAAACCGCTATTAAACGAAACAAATTAACCCTGTATTTACCTCCAAGGCCTGCATTCTCCTTAGCAGCATTTTATGCTCATCATTCTTGATCTTTTCTTCATAGAATTCTCGAAATGTCATTTTGTAGACGAGCTTCATACCATGCTTCTTTGCCATCCTGATAAAATAATACACTTAATTAGGGAATCCAAAAAATTACTACAGTTTTATTTACAAAGGACCAGTTTTAAGCCACAGTGACATCTTATGGTATTCACTAGGATTACAGTCTCTCCAGAATTTGTTTAGCGAAGGAACTTGGACGAAAAGAGCCTGCACTACCACCACAAACTGTACTTTTAAGAGTTATGTCAACTAAAATCTTCAAAGAACTCAATACAAATATTTCAATGGAAAAACCTCTCTTCTCCCTACACACACAAGCTCATAAGTTCCATCTGAGTTTCCATATAAACAAAGCTATTGCCCCTGCAGTATCATCATCCTGCCACATCGGCTGCTACGTAAATGCTAAGAGACCCACCTCCTACTAGATTTAGTGCTTGCATTTAAATTACACGTAAAGGCACTGTGGTCAAACAACACTGAAGTTGCAGGCCTCAGTGACAGATGCTGATACTCTTCAGAGAGATCTATAAATAAAGTGGGTGAAAAGATACAGGTTTGAAGAAAAAGCTCAGTGTTGGTGTTACGTCCATATTGAGCTTGAACAGTGGAAACAAAACAACAACAAAAAAATAATATGGAAACATCTGACTATACCTCAGAAGGAGGCAGGCTGGGAAAGATAAATCTGAGTTCATGCAAATTGCAAAACGTATGTACACAGCTAAAGTAAATGCACAGGAACGAAAATAAACGTTGCAGGGAAAAATCCTTCCTGAATATCCAAAAACATCTGAGGAAGACAAGAAAGAGGCACCACGATGAAGATGCTCAAGAGGACTTCCTAAAGGACTAGAGAGAGGTGGAATGAAACCAAAAAAATTAAGATTAAAGGAAGAGAAAGATGACTCTATTAAAGGCTGGCTGCAGATCACGCACAACAGGTACTGAAATCGCTATGTGCAAACTAGCATAAATCTTCACAGCGTCTGACCAGAGCACCTTCAATTGAGTGCAACAGTTAGAAGGCAGATTACACAGACTGTTGGATAGAAATGTGAGGAACTTCTCAAATTAGAGCAACAATAAAAAATGAGAAAGGAGGGAAAAAAAAAATGTTACAAAGGCCAAAACGTGTTTATTTTCCGCCAGTAATGTGCAACACCACCCAAGTTAAACAACTGCTTATTCACATTTCACTATTTTCATTATATAATGATTTCAAAACTTAACTTACTCTTCCAGTAATGGAAAATAAACCAAGAACTCAGGAACATCAACCACTTCTTCTAAGTGGAAGTCATACTTGCAGCCAAACAAGGGATAGTCTCCCTTCTTTTCAAATTTTACACTGTATACATCATTCCCAAATGAATTTGTTTCTGAAGCTTCAAGTCGTTTTCTATAAAATAAGATACAAACAAATAGTAACAACCGACCAGATTTTAAATTTTACAGACAAAAACAATCCATAAGAGACTTGAAATTCTTTTTCACGGTGCTCCACAGGACAGAGTTCAGTGATCTCCGTACTTTCCCAGCCCCCTTATTAAATAAGGCATCAAAACAATGGAATTGAGCAAGGAAGCATACTAAGTTTTAACAGTTTATCTTTCCTATGCAAGGTACGAAGGATTAAACGGACCTAGAAATTAACCTTCACCCCAGGCAGTTTATAGGAAAGAGGCAGGCTTTCTTAACCACCATAGCACAACTCTAACAGTTATTCTCCAGTTTGTAGCCGTTTTGTCACTATTTAAAGTCAATACAGGTCCATATATGACCAGAAGAGCCCTGGGTGCAAAAGACAAGGGTTAGTATAGATTCACCTATTTGACTCAAGTTCATGAGTGAGATTTTCTGACTAGAAGCCAAAACCATTGCAAAAAACTTGGACTTATTTTTCCACAAATATACCAGAGCACTATAAGAATGACTGTCATTCAATAACACTTCACACACTTTTGAAAGACAAACAGAAAATGAAAGTACTTACACAAGCTCAAAGCTATTTGGAGTTGTGCCAATGAAATACCCCCCAGGAGAGAGGTTCCCACAAGCATTTTTAAGCATCATGTCAGCCTGCTCATATGTCTCAAATGAATAATGGTAAACAAATTGACAGCTGCAAATGTCAAAGCACATATGTGGATCATTGTATTTGGAAGATAGGAGATCCTGAAATTGATTGAAAAAAAAAAAAAAAAAGTGCCAGAAGCTAAAGAAACAAGCATGAGTCACTTAATTCAACAACACATACTACTCCCATAATTCTTTCCAGTTTTTCCTTTCAGCCCCCACACCTTCACACCTTGAACAAGGATATGATCGAAGAAATGGGACTAGGAAGCCCAGTGTTACACAGAAAACCATGCCCAACATTCAGGAACAAGAACATGCATATACATTTCAAAGTTATAATTTCCTCAGCATTCTTTTAATGTGATCAAGTAACTACAACTCTAAACCTGAAAGGTCAAAAACAAAACTAACGGCTTCCTAATAGTCTCCAAAACCATTCTGCTGTTGAGGGTTTATAAGCAGCCACAATTTAGCTGAAAGCAAATATCATAATAAAATGAAATCACTGTTTACCAAGTCCTTGTAATCAGAACTGTCACTTCTCTTGCTCAGAAAATACCCATAAAATGTACAACTGTGCGGAGGGGCTGTTTTAAATGTAACAGTTTGCCTGGCCTCTGAGTGGTATTTGTTTTTATCCTAACGCACACATGCATACACACACAGCCCCTTTCTTAATCTAAGTAACCAGTAATGGTGGAGGAGGTGGTCTTGGAATTTGTCAGGTTAAAGCTTGCCACACTTCAACCTTGCATTCTAGCAGTACTCCAACTTTTTTGATCATGCTTTCTCCCCAAAGCCCTTGACGTGCATTCAGTATTTATGTTTCATACCTAACTGTTCTACCTGAATTTCTTCTCTCTCATAGACTTCCCATCCATCTATTCACTCCCAGCCCCTACCAGTTCTTGCCGCATGCTGTCACCATTCTGTATGCGGCAAGTCAAAAACAGACACTTCACATACCCATAGCAATTTTATTTGCTCGTTTACTCCTCCTCCACTGTTTTAAAAGGAGACATATAGAAACTGGTATATGGAAGGGAGAAACTACACAAACTGTGAGAGGGAGATTTTGCATTGTGTATAAAACAGAGGACAGAGATACAAAATCAGGGAGATTAACTTGTGTGCGTACAGACAGACAGAACAGAGTACACAACAGACAATACATTTGCATAAAAGACTGAGGTGTGAGAGCAATGTGAAAATATCCCTTTTCTTCCTGTCTGAGGCTTTCTCCCCTTTCCCTGACTGCAATTTTGAGTCAAGGGAGAGATCATATGGAAAACTGCAACTGACCGGATTCCTCGGAAGGGGAGGCAACCAGGAGTTCAAGCCAGGGACCCCTTTTGTAGGGCTAGGAAGAACAAGTTTGGCCTTTCCACAGATACACTGAAACCAGCCAGGCTCAGTCTTTGACAGCAGGGCACACTCAGACTTCCAAGAAGCAAAGGCAGTGCCGGGCAAAAAGACAGTCTCCTAAGTCTCAGCAATGTACTCCATAGCTGGTTCATACAGTCTAAGAAACGTGCTCTGTCACACAAGTGTTAAAGATATGTATTATAGGAATTAAAATGCTACTAGAAAAATTATTGGGATAAGCAAAATGTAGAAGTCAAATCACAAACTGTCCTTTATTCACTCCAGCATAAAAACATAGTGACTAGCTGTCAACATCTCATGTGTATTCCAGACCTCTAGAAATAAGTATTCATTCCCTTCCGCTTGTCAGGTGAGAGAAACTGAAAGCACCAGATTCGTTAACTGAAGTAGACATTCAAGCTGCAAGACTGTTATACTGGAAAACAGTAACGAAACACATTTAACTATGCTTCATGGAACTGTAAAATACAGTTGATTCTCCTGGTAGTGCAACAATTTGATCTTAAAACTACACAACATGCTGAAAACATCGCAGCACTACCATCACTTTCTGTACTTGCTTAAAGTAAGAATGTTAAATCTCTAAATCATTATAAAGCATGGCAACTGTACCTTGGTACTATCCGCCTGTATAAATTCTGCATCAAAAATATGTTCATTATAGCGACATCGGGCTTTCATGTCCTCATACCGCTGCTTGCACTGCTGCACAGAAATGTCAGCAATATCTATTAAAAAATAAATGAATATGCAAACTTCTCCTCAAACAAGAACACTGGAAATATTATTGAGCACAGCAGACACTCTAGGGCATAGATAAAAGCTATCTTCAGTCATGCTCAGATGTGAGTTCTTCTTTACAACTTATAGGAAGACAATTTATTTGTGACTGTAACTCTTTATGTATTTTTTCTGTCTTTATTTCAGACAAAAGTCATAACCTGAGATTTTAAAAAGCTGCCATCCTTAAGGGTGGAAGGAAAGCGTCAAAAATCTGAAGTGATAAGATACTAGGTAATTAAGTGCGGTTAGCATTGTCTAATATGAAATAGTTGGAACAGATCAGCTCCCAGGGTTTCTCAAAATGGTACTGAAAGCTCTTCATATTCTTACAAATATAAAAGATGTTGAAATGCAATGATTTGTGATATATGCTGGTGTATTCGTTGTTTTTTTTTTCTTTTTAAGATTGTTCCTACCTCAGTGTTCAGTTTCACTGAATACTGACAGTTCAGATAAATTGATTGCTCACTGTTAGTTTTAAAATTACATAATAACTCTTGCTTCCCCAGACTACCCTTATAGTGCTTTTTTGTCTAGGAAGGGGAAAATGGTGTCTGCTTCTCAACATCTACATCATTCATTTAAGCAAAAGATTATTTCATCAGCTTTCAGCTCTTCCCCTTTCTGATTCTGAAAATTTTTAGTTGATGGTAGCATCCAAGACCACTGGTTTTTTTTCATAACACAGCATTTTATATATATATACTTTTTAAATGTAACACTTCATGTTTATTTTCAGAATCGTAAAAACACTGCAAAAGCTTAGACATGGGAGAAAAGATACGGCAAAACACAAAAGCCAGTCCTTTCCTCCATGTTAAATTTCATCTAAGACAATCACTGGCAATTGTGTTTCTTCACTTCTACTACCTTTTATTTTTGAGTTGAAATGAATGCTGACTACACAGAAAATCAACGGTTCTTATATTTATGTTAGCAGTCAAGTCGACGTTTTCAGGTTAAAAGTATAAAAAAACAAACAAAAACAAAAACACAACAACAACATCACGCACACATACCACTCTGGTATATCACTGCATTTTTGGGCTTATTAACAAAGGAAGGAATAAAAGACCTGAGATGGGCTTAGCTGTTTTTCCATAAAACACTGGTGTACTTTTCCTGGAAAAGTATTATTTTCCTACCTGTACAGACAAGTTTTTTAATTCTCCCTTTTTTCCATTTAAGCAAGTCTCCACCTTTGCCACATCCTAGATCCAAAACAGTTATATCATTCTTCTTCCGTCGTACACGGTCTATAAATTCACCTACAGAAATAAAAAGAGAGAATGTATATGCAGGCCTCTAATTCACTTTTATTGTGCAGAGATCCCTAAAGGGTTCAAGAATTTTAAAATACCTCAGAACCTACTTTGCCTGTATGCCTTCTTGGCATTACAGACTTAAATCTCTCTTTCAATAGAGAATGAAAACAACAACTACAAATTCCTAAAGCTATGGAAAAGATAATGAATACTTTCCGTACTTAACATGCTTTGCACGTAGTGTGACTTCAGCTCTGAACTGTTTCCCCGGCAGAAAAAGGCAAAACTTCACAGTTGCTTAACAGAAGCCTATTTGTGGGTAGAGTGTAGGGTTCCCCTTCACTATCCTAATAATAAAGGCAGATTTTACCTAAAAGCATGAGAAAGCATTCGGCAGAAGAGAAAATGCCAAGGATATGTGAGCAAAACATTTTTCTTCCTGTCACATTACAGATGTGCACAGTGTTCTCTACTCAGACTTTCCTAGGCCTTGCAATAACTAGATATTTCTTTACTGTCTTTTCACCCTACATATGCTAATTTCATTTTCTCTTCTTTCTCCACTCTCTAGATATTTCTGCTCTGACTGACGTTGACATATTATGCAAAACATATCAGCGTGCTAGCAACTTTTCTTCACGGTAAGCAGCATGAAATATGTTTTGATATAAGCACTATAATGCTACAGTATTTAAAATCTAAAGGCTTCAAAACAGACTTAATGAATAGCTTTCTATAAACCTAAACACTGCCTCTATCTGCTCTGATACCACACAACAAAAAGCAGCATGCTAAGACAAATGGTGCCAACATCTACTGGCATAGCTCCCCCTTCACGAGTCTATGGTGCTCTGCCAATAATTCTCTTCTTTCTTTGGAGATACCGGATGGTTTTGCTTCCTCCCTTTGGAGTTAGATTTGTGGGATGGTGGACATTGTCTTTATGAAAAGCTGCTACATCTTCTTCCTCAAGAACTATATTCTCTAGTTTTTCACCTTTTTAAAATCACTGACTATGGGTAACGGAGAAAACATTTGTGTTACGTGCTCCAGTTTTCTGCTTAACCTGGACTTGAAGACAAACTGCCTTGGGAAAAACACTAAGATATTATTTCAGATAGATTTAAATAAAAAGAACAGCTTAATCTGACACATACAAATTCTTGACGCTGACCCTTTCTTCTTTGAAAAAGGCAGAAAGAATAAGTTCCCCATATGAAGATTTTCCAGTTTTCAGGTCAGTTGATCTTTACGACTTATTTGGCACTCCAGCAATATAAAAATTATCACAAAGATTCAGAATAAAAGACAGAGATACATAAAGATATTTTATTCCACTTTAAGATCTTACTGTATTAACACACAAAGTGCGTGCCATAATCAGCACCATAAAGCAGAACATAGTTACATTTTTGTACAAACATTAGCTGCATTTTATTAAAGTCTAATGCAATCAGTTAAGGAATCTTACCAATGAGGACACTCTTTGTCCAGTTATTAAAGTTTCGGAGGTAGAATATGCGACTCTGGCTGCGTTTTTCTAATCCAACTTCTTGAAGTTCATTATAATGTGCAGCCACAGCTTGTCCATGGCCTATCTCACGCTATAGAAATGAGGAAGGAAATAGACTAAAACAGTGATTCACTCTTATTATTTTTTTCATTTAATCGAAAGACGCTTGTTCACTTTAAGAATTTAAAAACATAAACAAGTAACGACATGAAGATCACCAGCTTTATTTGCATAAAAACATCTCCCATATCTGCCCTAGTGCTGACCTCAGCACTTCAATAACAGCAGAAACAACTCCATTAAAAATTTAATTTCATTTTCCGTTGGTTCAAGTAATTTCTGAAGGATGATGCCCAGTATCTTTCCTTCACAGAAATACTTAAGTTTCAGGTCTTCAATAAATACTCCCATCACTCTCTCAAATAATCAGTTTCGTTCCCCCAAAAGCCAGGGATTGAAGAGGAAGATGTACCTTCTCTAGGAGTACTCTTTCAGTTTTAAGCTTTCTCCAAAATTCTGTATCTGAAATTCAGTATTTACATCTAACAAAAGTGTACACACTGCCAATTTATCCAAAACATCAACCTGCTGATGTTGTGCAATCCCCATTAAGTGACGGATCACAACGCTAAAGCTTTGAACAGACCATTTGTAACTCCAGAGTTCGACTACCTTACTGTCTTTCACTTAACGTAAGCAATAACCTCATGACAGTATTCCATTCAATACTTAATAGCTGGCTGTAGAAATGTCTCTGGTTTAGCCATAAATATAATCAGTCCCAGAGATTTCTGCCCCACATGATATAGAGAAGCATTCTGTACCTGGGTACTACCCTCCTAAGATTTTCTCCCCTTTTAAGTAATTGTCAGCTTTACGCATAGTATGCAATAAAAGTAAATTATGCATAAATTACAAAATAACAAAGTACAGAGGACCAACACAAATTGTGTGAGCTGCGCTAAAGCATCTGAAATAACAGTACAAACAAGAATGAAAGATTCTCATCAGTCAAAACTCACAAGCATCCCACAAAGCTCCAGCCACTATGCATTCACACAATTAAACAGCATTCCCAATAGTAATCCACTGCAGAAGTCAATATCCAGACACCTTATTATTGAAACTGCAGTTTCTCAAGGGAAAAGATGGCTCGACTGACTTTAATGTACTACATTAATTCTTTAGTGTTTCAGATAATTTTGGTAACATTCCGAACATACACAGTCATGGAATAGCGATGACCCCCATCACCTGTTTATTACTGCTCTCACAGCTGAGTGATAGTAACGAGTATTTTGATCATTTCTAGTCTTTTAGTGCAAGCACAGACAGTTCCTTGAAAGGCCAGTGAGGATGATTTAAGCTAGAAGAGCTGACTTTGAAAGCAAGTGTGGGAGACATTCACACAATTCACGAACACACCTCAACTGCCTCAAGAGCAGTTGTGAGCAGTTGCAAACAGTCGTTAGACCACTGGCAGCCACATTAAAAGTAATCACCTCCCT